TGTCTCTCATAGTTGAGGTATACCTATGATGAAAATTACAGGCCTCTCTCATCTTTTTAAGTGGGAGAACTTGCACAATTGGTGGCTGACTAAATACTTTTTTGCCCCACTGTAATTAGCCCCAGTTTAAGAATTACTGCTTTACATTGTGCCAATGCTTTATAGCAGCTGTATATACTGGAACTGAAAGGGAGAACCAGTTGCAAAAACTTATAGAAAGGCTGGCACTATTTCACAACTGCTGTGTGAAAAAATCAACAGTGCAATGCACTAATAGGAACTTCAGTTATTATTTCTTTCGTGTACAATATTCAGTGGAAAGGGACAAGGGACACTCATTTCACACACATACAATTCATACATACACATGCCCATATACCAGCTGCCATATATAAATCTTGATGCCACGGAGAGGAAAGGTGCTGCTATTTCAGTGACTTATCTGGGTCTATTTACTGGGGATTGTTGGAAACAATATTACCACTTGGTTTTACTTGCTCTTGTGTCATTCTGACCCTTGGAAAAAAGGCCAGGGCTAGTGTGTATATCCCAAATTAACTGATAAAACATCGACTTCTTTACTAATTTTAATAAATGTGATCCTGTAATGTAAACAATACATTGTTTTATACAGCCAATAAATGTGCAAGGAAAACATCCTAAGTATTATCAGAAAATTTTTGAATAGAAGGCAATGTCAGTTAATATTTGTATGACTAACTTATTCTTTCCATGTAATTTATTTTTTGGAAATAAATTATGTGAAGGGGCTGAGGACTTAGTACAGGTAGTCCTTGTTTAGCAATTGCCTTGTTTAGCATCCTTTCACAGTCATGACGGTGATGAAAAAGTAACTTTACAACTGTGAGAAGGCAGGGAGAAGTGAGGGCCTCAAACGAACCATGTTTGCTAGGGGAGAGCGCTGTGCACCATGGGGCAGTCTTGGGGGGGACGGCAGGAGAGAGGAAAGACTGCAGGCAAAAGGCACGTTCGCGCCAGAGTGAAGAGGGACGGCAGGAGGGAGGAAATACTGTAGGCAGGAGGCACGTTCGCACCAGAGTGAAGAGGGACGGCAGGAGGGAGGAAATACTGTAGGCAGGAGG